AGGCATATGGGGGTTATGTGGAAATATAGCTCCACCGTTTTTGACTTTGGCACTAGATGCGAATGAGAGGTCAACTTCACTTCCCTGCGGCTTTACCAAAAGGGACGGAGTCCCTGGTGCCCATTAAATAAGAGGTTGGGCGAGCCCCAGAGTCAGCCTGGTCGCACAGGATGTTAAGATACTGAGAACAGTTTTACATTATTTCGTCAGTTCTCGTGTGATCTAAGGCTTTTGCAGTCTTAAACTGCTCCTGTACTGGGAACAGGGGATATAATCATGTCAGGACTATGGATGAATATCCATATTTTTTGTGTTGTGTTGTGTTGTGCTCGTAGCGGCTTCGCTTTGGATCGATATGCCTTCGAAAGAGTCTTATGTAATGCAAGAGGCCATGATTCAGAAGAGCTGAAGGCGTTAATTACGTAATTGAGTTATTTGTTTACGTACTTTTTTACTAAGCCGTATATTTATTTCCTTACTTTGAGAGTCACAGCCGTATTGACTACTGCTGTATTAGTTAATTTAGGTATTTATGTGGCTAACTTGTTGCTTATTTAATTATTTACTATATACGGGCACTCTAGAATCCTCCTCTGTGGACGCTACAGTTCACGTTGAATCTTTGTCTCAGTTTCTTAATTATATAGACAGAGATAGGACTCATTGGGCGGGATATCACTTCGTCGCAAAATCCGTGCTACACAAGCTAACACAAACACAGAATAAACGCAGACAGACATACATGCCTCGAATGGGAATAGAGCCCACGATCACAATGTTTGAGCGGGCGAAGACATTTCATACTTCAGACCTCTCCGGCGTCGTTCATTAAATGCTACCAACCTAAGCCACAATACGGCAACACTTTCATTTTTAAGGATATGTGATGATGATGGCCATACACGAATCCTGACCGTTCATGCTCAAACCCTCAACTGACGATAGTAACCGTGAACCAAAGCAGTAAGTCATGTACCTTGAATACAAACGGATATTAAGCGCTTTGACATGTGAAGTGAAACGAAGAGCGGTGGTCGCAGGTCGGATGAGCGTTAAACGATGGCTGCGTTTAGTTCCATGCTCGTCTTTGTGAAGGCCAAAGCATTCCTGCTAAAGAATTTAGCTACTTACTGACTCACCCACACACATCTCGTAAAACAGATTCTCTGTTAGTGAACTTAACCAAATCTGCCAAGCATTCATTTCACTTCTGCGATTTCTTAAATATATGACAGCATCTGAGGCACGGATTCTCTCAGCACCTCATTCACATGGTGAGGTAGTGTCTTATGAAGAACATGGATGTTTCTTTTCCTTTCCTTTAATTTTCATACTCACACACATCGGTCTGTATCCACTTATTCCTCAAAATGTACCGTCTATTAATCACTTATGTCGCTACCTTACTAACCAGCCTAGGAGCACACGTATAATACCTCTGAGAATGTCTTTTGAAGACGGTCACAGTCCGATCTGGAAAGATGAACAATATCCGTGACTATATTACGTAATGAACAGACGTGACCCATATTCAGAGTCCACACCTCAGATACTCTCCGTTCTAACCGGCCTTAACTACAGAGATGATGATATATTGTAGCCTTGAGCGCAGTAGCCTTCGTAATGTTCTTTGTAATTCCGCAGCGCTAATTCAATACACATTCCTTTCAACATATGCAACTGCGGCTACGATGGGTGCAAACCATTGCTGGGTATTCGACACAAACTTCATGAGGAAAACAAGTATGTAGTGAGGCTAATAAGAGCTATAATAATAATTATGAGGGAGAGTCAGTATATAGTTCACATAGGGGTACAAAACGTAAAATATGTGATATTCAGACTTGAAAAAGAACACTTATTTCTCGACATATCCTCCAGAAAAATGAATACACTTCACCAGTGTGTCGAAACCAGCAGCATAGAAGTCTTTTGACTGTTGTCTCAGTCACTTCCGCACCTCCATTTCAACCTCTTCGTCATCAGCGAAAGGTTTGCCAGGTTTCTCGACCCAGTTGTGAACCGCTTAATGCGGCAAATACAGTATGCGCCAAAAATTACAGTCCTTTTGTCTATAAAGCTTGCAATTTTGTTTTGAGTGTGATGTGTTAAATCGCGGTAAAGTGAAGTGAAGGGAAGGGAAGTTAAGTGAAGTAAAGTGAAAATGACAGCACCTGTACATGACAATACTGAACCATGACTGATCGGTTTATTTAACTTTTCTTTTTTATGTTTGTATTCTCTCTGTTATGCTGCTTTGTATTCATTGTGGTAGGGAGTCCTTGTTGTGTTTTGTGTATTGTTTGAACGTGTTGTTACTTTTTGTAATTACTTGTCTGTTGCCCATTGTTGTACTACTGCCACCGGGTTAAAACCCAATTGCAGTAAAATAATAATAATAATAAACAACATTGATCTTCGATAGCACACCCCTCAAGCACGATCGTCATTTTGACTACTGAAACCAGCCTCTGAATATGCGCATGCGCGTCTGCTACCTAGAATGTCATGAAGCTGGACTGTGCTGCTACCTGGTGACGCACGTCACAAATCGTGAATATGGAATATGAAAGAAATCCGTCCAACCGTTTAGGTGTTAGTTAAGGGGAAATCCGTACATGCATACCGGTAAATACATACAGACAGATGGCATACCGAACGCCACTTGTTCTTATTCTAAGGGGCTAAAAACACACAAATCCGTCACAATCTCAGTATGTTCTCTTCATACTCTCGGCTGTGTAACCACTATGGCTGTTGTTGAAGTGAATACTACATCGCTAAAATTAGTTTGGTTGTTTAAGGTTTATCCGGGATAGCATAGTCGGTATAGAGACTGGCTACGGGCTGGACGATCGAGGGAGTTCGAGTCCCGGTATGGTCAAGAATTCTTTCTTCCCCACATCGTCCAGACAGGCTCTGGGGTCCACCCAACCTCCTCTCTAATGGGTACCGGAGGCTCTTTCGCCGGGCGTAAAGAGGCCGGGGCGTGAAGCTGATCACTCACCTCCAGCTATTGCCGAAGTCAAGAAAATATGGCTCTATACATCCACTCCCTCATACGCCTTCATGGTGTAGCACTTAATTAGTTAAGCACAGGGACAAATTCACCTTTTACCGTAATGAATAATTAATATTGATAATGTGTATATACACGTATTAACAGTCTTCAAGTGCTCACAATCCCATCTAGCACTTCTAGACTACATGTTTCGGCAGTATGCTGCCATCTTCAGGTGTATCGATCCGTCAACTATTTCACTGCTTGCCTTTATATGTCCATTTACAAATAATATTAAATTTGTATACGTCCTTATATAATAATAAAGTTTATGTATTTAAAACTTGTTAAAACCTATTATCTCATAGTCATATTTTTAAAATTCGTGTGTATTATTAATCATCCACATGGGGGTCGTTCTTCTTATGTTTCTAATGTTGTGTGTATATTGTTTCATGATGTGTTCTACTCTTGTGGCTGCGTGCGTTGTATCGTTGGATGTGATGAACTCATTAAACGATTTCAGAAACATCATTTGTGTTGAAATGATAGGTTCATAATAATTATCATGCCATACTTAAAAAAGAAATGCGTCCCTCTGCTGACTCTTAAAAGAAGCACAGTATAAGAGTCTTCAGAATATAGGGTCATGGGCGCCACCCGGTCTTACGTGTATTCCGGAGGGGGGTGGAGCTTACAAACTTACGTTTAAAGTCTTTAGGAAAATGACTGCGGGTCGCAGTCTGGATGAGGGTCCGGATGCTGAAAAATGTATGGCCCCCAATTAAGAACATTCGTAAATTTTGTTTTAATATTAGGTAAGTTCCTTATTTTTAATCTAGGGGTGAGAAACACGCTTCTTACTGAAACGTAGGACGGGTAAGGATAAACCTGTGTAACTAGCAAATTCCGTGCTGCTTGGTATTTCTTGGCCAGCCGATGGGCATATACTGCTCAGGGTATTTATTCTTATTGTTTAACCCCATTTGTAAGCACCACCAATACAAAAGACCGTCGTTTGACCCTGTTTGAGATCAATCAAATTCGCATGTAAACTTCTTTCCCTACCGTTGCTAATGTTTCTGTGATAAGACTATACTAACAACCAACCTTCAGATTAATTAATTGACTATATTAATATGATCCGAAGCCCTGGCAGTCGCATAGATAATTGCCTCTGTCGCCATGTTCGTATCGTCTGTGGGGCCTGCCCAGGTTCCATTACAGTGCATATGGGGGGCTCTCTTTCTACAGCAAAGCGACTGAATCTCGCAGCTGACACACCTGCCACTACAGTCAGGGTTAATAATGCTTGAAAATTGGTCTCCACAGCCGTTCATGGTGTGGGGCTTAGGAACAGGAACAATACGATGTCTAGGTTCCACACTGACCAAGACATAGGTGGGTGAACGCTATTAAAATGCATCTTAGAGAAATAGGATGGCACGGTATGGATTGGATTTATCTGGCTCGGAATAGGAACAAATGGAGGACTTTTGTGAACACGGTAATGAACCTTCGGGTTCCATAACACGATGGAAAGTTCTTGAATAGGTGCACAATTGGCGGCTTCTCAAGAAGGGTTCAGCTCCATGAGTGAGTGAGTGAGAGAGGTTCCACACTAATGTACCTGTGTAAATAAAGTATGGAACGGAATTGTATATATAGTATTTAAATAGAAACGACGCGCCGGTTTATTTCGAAGTTCGTCAGTGGATGGTTAATTAACGTTATAATTGATCAGCTAACCAAAAGTGTTACTCCGAAAGTGTGTTCATTATAGTAGGGATACTGTTATAACAAAATACGAATGGTTGCGTTTTCGATTATGTTTAGCTCTAGGCATCATGAAAAATTCATGAAAGTAAATTATGTAGGAACACATACTCAGAAAAATGGGATTACTGATAAAACAAACAGTAAATGCTCCTGTAATTGGTTACGTTTAATTCCAGACATGATCGTTCTAAATATACCTAATATAACAATTTCATTTCAGCCCTGAAGAACTTGGGATCAAAGGCCGAGCAGTTGATGGAAAAGAAGAAACATGAAGTTGAGGATATAGCTAATCAGAAAAAACAAGCGGCAAGTGAGATGCTGGAGGAACAAGCCAAGAAGACCGGAGATGCCATCTGGTCGACAAAGTCAGAGCTGGAAACTGCGGCTGTCGGTGGGGCGATGGACGCCAAAAGCACAGCTATCGATGCCTTCGACGAGGAATTCAGCAAGGCAGAGAAGGCTGTAGACAGCACCATCGACCAAGCCAGCACAGCTGTGGACGCTAAGCTGAAGGAAGCAGACCAGTTCATCGACGAGAAAAGAGAGCAGGTGGGGAAAGCAGTGAAAGAGACATCGCAGAAAGTGGTTGAAACTAAGGACCAGACATCGGCATCTGTCCTTGGGAAGGCAAAGGGCATCCTCAACTGTAAGTAAAATTTATATAAAAAAAACCGTGAATCACAATATTTTTGTGCTGAATATTCCCTGAAACAGTCAAACAAATGTCTGTTCCTCCTGGGAAGGAATAAATTGTAAATGCACAACTTAATTTTTAATTGTCATATAACATAAGTAAGCAACGAATTCGGCTTTGGATCCTGCAACTACTGCAATTTGGCTCTTTTCCTTTGATACAATAATTCTGAGCATTGTACATCACATGATGCCTTATGCTTCTTCAGTTCTTAATAACCTAGACTCTCCTTGGGTTGAATTTTTATATTCTCTCTAATAGATCCCCAAGTTCTATTAATATCCACCCCACTGTCTAAGTTTTCTAAAACTGCGAACCTGTTTGAGATTTCGACACGATACTGCTCTTCAGCCTTTACTTACTTAGTTACTCATGGAGCTGAGCCCTTCTTGAGGAGCCACCAATTCTGCAGCTATTCAAGAATTTCCCAGCATTTTATGGAACCCAAAGGTTCATTACTGTGTTCACAAGAGCCCTCCAGTGGTTCTTATCCTGAGCCAGATAAATCCAATTCATACCATCCCATCCCATCTCTCTAAGATCTATTTTAATATTGTCCACCCACCTATGCCTTGGTCTTCCTAGTGGTCTCTTTCCTTATGTCTTTCCCACCAATATCCTATATGCATTCCTCTTCTCCCTCATTCGTGCTACATACCTTGTCCATCTCATCCTCCTTGACTTGATCGTTCTAATTCTACTTAGAGAACAGCACAAGTTATGAAGCTCAGACTTTACCTCATTTAATTTCTTGTGTTCAAACCTCTCCATATGAACTCTCTGTGTTGTTTGTTTACTCACTGCCAGTTTCTCCTTCCCTAACTTTTGCCTTCTCCTGTCTATCAAAATATGATCTATTTGATTTAGAGTCTTTCCACAAGGAGGTGTCCAAGCAAATTTATGAATTTTAGGATGCAAGAATTAGTAGCAATAAGATTTTAGGATCCGACAAAATTTAGTACCCTAACTCCACTATTATTACTAATTGCTTGTAAATATCCTCTCTATTTACTTCGTCATTGAAATCTCCTAACAGATTTTTCATGAGGTATGTAGGGAATTTATCTAGTTCCTCACCAAAGTGTCTTTCACGTTTTGCAAGGAAACACCTTTTAATCCTTTGAGCATTATTTTAGTTTTATTGTAAGACCACCACAGAACCGTTGTTCCCTAACTACTGGCAAGAGGTTATTATACAAAGCCTTATTTTTTGAGGTGTTCATATGGTCCCAATTTTATTCAAAATTCTGAAATTTTCAAGGTCTTCCATTATAAATCTGCTATTGCAACCTGCTCAGCTTACATATTTTCAAAACATTAGATATTTATAGTGTGTAATAATATTAAATTTGTTTATAACATATGATTATACAATTTTTATTTTTGTGTCTGTGTTTCTCCTGTTTCAGTGTAATTTCAAAGCAAAAAGCACATCAAGAGGAAGTCCATTTTTCTGCATTCTCCTGCCATTCTATTTGCTTTTTGTGTGTTCTGTGGCACAGGGGAGAGGAGACATTTCATCCCATACATCACTGCTGCAGAAACAGGAGGCTGTGTAGCAAAATTCTTCATTGTGGAACATATGTCATTGTGAGAAGAACATAAACTGCTACCTTGATCAACTTCATAGTTGTTCCTAGCAAGAGAGCACAAGTAGTCTAGTTTGCTAATACATGGCCCATATGGGTGATTTTCAATTGCATCAATGGACTATTTTAAAAAAAATAAAAGAAAAAATCAAACATAACTAGATTTTAAGTTACCAACTCCCATGCCATATAGGGATTTTTTTCTACATTCACTGAAAAATGAACAAGCACCTAAATGTCTCATATGTATTCATCAATTGCAGCTTATTATATATTCTGAAGTATCCACCTCAAAGTGGTATTTAAAAGTGATTGCAGGCCAACAACATTTATTTCTTGAGAATTTCTGGCATGAACAGAAGGAGAGGTCAGTACCATAATTATTTGTAAAACTTTTCTGGTTATAATACCAATTATTTGATGAAAAAACATTCAACGTTACATTTTTCCTATTTCTAATAACAAACACTAAATATTGAAGACTGCAATTAGTATAATATAAAACCATTGCGATAGAAGAGAATACAACTGGTTCCTAAATACTCTTTAAAATTTTATGCCGTCTCTAAATACTTTTGTTTTGCCATCATTAAAATACTGATGAGAAATGCCTTATGTAAATAAAATGTCAGTTGCAGCCTAAACAAGAGACAAAGTGTGTCCCAATAAGGCAGTTCACACTTTGACACTGAACAGAATAGTATGAGGCAGAAATAATAAAGAAGACCAATTAAATTCATTTCAAATAAAATAAAACCAACAAGATAAATATTAAAGGAAAATTATATATCTGAAATTTGATGTTCTGTGTATTTAAAGTTTCAGAACTAAAATATGAATGAGAGTTTAAAGTGTGGTCTCTTTAATATTGCCTTCTGTAGATATTATGCCTAGCATATATTAAATCTGATTTGTCTGATAAAGAAATTGTGCTGTGCCATTGAAGCAAAAGAAATGCACAGTTGGTATAATATACTTTCTACAAGTGAGTGTAGTATTGTCTATATTAATTTGTTTCACATTAAGATTTTCATTTCAAATATTTGTATTTTTTAAGAAAGTGATAATTTTAATAACACTTCGATTCTAATATTTTAATTGGTTTTGGTTTATGTATCATTTAAATTTACTAAAATGATGTCAAAAAGCTGCTGCTATAAATAATTTTAGCAGCACAAAATTATAATTCAGTTGTTACCTCATTCATGATGCCTTTATTCTAGCTGGAATAGATATAGCTGCTAATAACTGATGCCACAGCTATATTAAGAGAATTGTATTCATGCATTGCAAAGTTATTTTTATCTCAATAATGCAACGTTTAAGAAATATTATTTAAATTTTGTATTTTGAAGAACATTGATCATTTAGAGTCAGTCAAATTATATTATGCTCAGGTTGTTATATTGCCATCAGATTATCAAATTTTGATTTATATTTTGCATAAAGTATGTACACTATGAGATGTTAATATAAATATTGTGAATGTGTGGTATATTGTTGTAACTTCAAATAAACTTAATTTGGTTACTCATAAAAGAAAAGCGCAATTAGTTGTGATTATCTATGTTCAGTCCCTATATCAGGGTTATTCCTAACTAAAGATAAAACATGGTCAGCCCCTCATCTGTGTCATTATGCTAATGAGGAAGTAGAATAGATACTTGTCCAATGGCTAGCACTGGAGATATACGTATTTGACCCAGACACACATGGATACTTTCTTCCATTTGAGACAAAAATCACAGGATGCCTTTCTCACAGAATTCTGTAGCATCACGTCATGATATTGCAGGCCACATGCGGCCCACCAGTTCATTTTGTGCACCCATCTTGTTCTAATTATAGAATCTGGCAGGCCTCAGTGCTCAATAATTTATTTCCATTTTTTTTGTCCTGTGCCAGAATGGTTAAAGGATGCTTGCTACCCTTATCTAGATTATCCATAGCTGTTATATTGCTATTGGATAACACAAAGGACAGAGCGTCTTGAAATTCCCAGTGTTCTCCTCTTTTCGGACAAAACTGAAGTGGCCCATACATGGTTATTGTTCAATGACGGTATTAGCACCAAGAATCTCTTGTATAGACGTAAGAACAACATTTAAAAAGCTCCAGTTATATGTTAATTAGATCCAGGAACTTCATGATCATGCCTGGCGATAAAGTGAAACAAAAATAATTGTCTTATTGTACATTTCAATAAAAACGATTTATATTATGACTAAAATGTAAGAAAAACAGACAAACATTTAACATATAAGGTCTGCTTTACAAATCACTCTTGTCCGGGATTGTAGCCTATGATTTCGGAGGCTTGATACTATTCAGGTGATTGTAACCAATGCAAGGAGTTGGTTCAGATCTCTTACTTTTCTTTGATATGGTACGGCCCATATAGAAAACACAGCGTCCAACATTTCTTCTATCGTTGCTTGTGCTTTCTTTTCCTCCGGAACGTGTTTACCAAAGCGCTGCCTATCAACTGTATAGGAACGTATTTAGCGAACTGTTGCTTAGAAACGGCCGTATTTTCTGGCACCACTTTTCCGGCTTTCAGGCGTCGTGTCCCTTTGCATTCAGAAGTTGATGGTGGGAGGGAACAAACGGCCAAACACATATACAGCAAGGTGATCCCATAAGCCTATTTTATGTTTCAAATAAGGAAGATAGGCTAAACGCCGTACGAACATGTTGTTAGGCAAATTTTAATACAAAAGTAGGTAGGGAAGACATTTTCAAACCAAACAGTTGGGAATGAGAGTTAATACCTACTCCAATGTCTAAGTTTTCCAAAGCCGCGAACCTATTTGAGACTTCAACATGATACTGCTCTTTGGCCTCTGCTTAGTTTTATTTTTTGAGATCGAACCCCTCCATATAACTCCGTACGTTTTTTATCTGCTCGTTGCCAATTTCACCCTAACTTTGGCACCACCAGATAATGGCCAGTAACACAACCGTCTCCCCCGAAATATTGGACAGAGTGGGCTTGAATTCCGTCTCCTGTCTATCAAAATATGTCAATTTGATTGCCAGTTTTTACATCAGGAAATTTCCAAGTAAATTCATGACTGTTATGATGTGGAAACATTGTACTTTTGATAATCGGATTTTTGGACTTGGCCAAGTTTACCACTCTAACTCCATTGTCATTAGCAATGTCGTGTAAATTCTCATTCCCAACTGTTGGTTTGAAAATATCTTCCCTACCTATTTTGTCATTCAAATCTCGTAACAAATTTTTATACGAGCCATGGTAGCGCATTCGGTATTGAGATTCCCTACTCAGTGGACAACCGAGGGGTCGGAGTTCGAGTCCTAGCAGGGTCAGAATTTTCACTTTTCCATATAGTGCAGAAAGTCTCTGGGGCCCACCCAACTTACTATCCAATGGGTACCGGGGTCTCTTTCCTCGGGGGTAAAACAGTAGGGGCTTGAAGCTCACCGCTCACCTCGGCACTATCTGGACTATCTGACGTGATTCTTTTATTTAAAAAGAAAAACCCATATGTAATTCGTAATTCTCATTTCCTTTTCGATAGAAAAATATATATTCGCCTGTTGGTTCGGTGCCGTCCCTGTCCCATCTGACCTCTAAATCTAACTCATACTTTCATCACTATATTACTGTCCTTTTGGATTTTTGTACTTGGTGGACGGTTGAATGGTTTCTGCATCTTGCCAATAGTTTGTAGTAGCTTATAACAAGAGCATCGATGAAACTCAGCTGGATCAGTGTTTAGTGAGGAAAATTAACTTATTTCGTTTAAATACATTATCATGGACACGATAGAGTGATTGGTATTACTCAGTAGCAGGACATAACTGCCGACTGAAACATTCAGTTTCTGTTAAGGCCCAGTTCACTCTATACATGGCATGGACAGGGAACAGACCATCAGCAGACCTCAAAATGTTGTCAGACGTTAAAATTAAATGTGAAATTACCATCCAAATATGTGCAATTTATTTCCTTTTGCGTGATAAAATGTTTTGGTCATAATTGATCACCTTCAGGGAGAGACCAAATATTAATGGTAAATTTACAATGTGTACAATAGCTTATATAACTTCGAAGTAGCTCCAGTACATTATTTTTGGATTTATTGATTTCTGACCATACTGCATGACGAAGAAGAAATAAAAGCAACTTTCCTGAAATAGAAAGAATATCACTTATTCAGTGCAGACATTGTCATCTGCAGTTTTAATGAAGACTTCCAGAAAAATCGTTAATAGACTGTAGTGTATAGACCCGTTACTAGGTAGCGATCACGAAACAAACAGGTTTCCCCTTCAATGAATTCACGCGCAAGAAAGAGGAACTTTTGGAAACTCTTGTTTTCTGCGCTGTCCGTGCCGAGATGTTATGAGGAGGACAATTGGAGCAAGAGTTTAGAGTTCTTAGGGAGTATGTGAAGAGAAGACTTAGTAGGTGCAGTTAATAGCCAGCAGGCACCGAAGTGAGCACGGAAGCTGAAGAATTTCCACTGTTAGAAGTCGTTACTGAGGCCTGAAAGTGTGTGGTGGCAATGGGTGAGGAACGGGGATCCACCACTAGTAGTTAATAGTGAGGGAAACTACCATCTATCTTCAGTACCCGGTTAGTATACAGGAATGAATTGGTGCAGTTCAATGAAAGCCTTGTATCTATCAGAAGCATTTTTACTGTTCTGAATATCTAATTGTCCTTTATGTACATTTATCTCACATACACAGGCCCATCTGTGGTTGAAAAGCTAACCAAACTACAAACGTACTGCAGGCTGAGAAATTATTAAATAATTTTCAAGAAAAATATACCTGTATTGTATTGGAGCGTCATGTTATGTATCATCATAGGTGTGGAGCCTCCGACAACACAATATATCGGTACTATGCAACACCAACATCAATTTTAACAAAAGTTGTTTAACACAAAATATCGTCCCTAAATATGCAAATCCGAACATAAAACAAAGCACCACAACTAACAGAAGAAACAACACGAACATTTCGAATAAAACAAGAAACAATATTTCTATATAAAAATAAACAAAAATTCAAATAACCGATAATTTAATCAATAGGCAAGTATATTTACGTAATTTCCCCCAAAGTAGTCTCCACCTTATGATGGAGTGGGCTTGCGTGACTCTGTGACCTGGAGAGCTATGCTGGCGGTAGTTTAGCTACTGGCAGTCACCCATGCTGGAAAGGTCAAAGGGTAGAGTCCAGACTAAGATAGGTACCCTGGTCCTCCAGGTTGGGTGTTGGGCATAAGGCTAACAACCTCATCCTGTAAAGAGAATTTTGTTCAGAAACCTAACAACCAGCCTCGGGTAATCATCCGTGGGTCCATTCCTATGGCAGCACGCATTGGTTGTAGAGGAGGCCAAGGCTCACGCAGGGCTGTAGCACCGAGTGGTAGGTAGGTGGGTATATTTACGTAATAAAAACAATACAAATATAGAAATTTTTAGAGAAAATTCATACAATTAAACACAACAAATAACAACTATCATGACAGCATTTCTCATTTGAAATATTTATTCATATTCTGATTGAACTTAACGAGGATGCTGTAAGCTGCTCTTTTTTAAAGATAACGGTCTTCTGAGATGTGACACCGTATGGTCTGTTAGAAGTTCACTGAAGCTTCGGATGGACGTAACGCCTCCATCTTCAGGATCGAAGTGAAAGCCAAGCAAGTGACCAGCAAGCTTCTTGTTGATTCGTTTCGTGGTTTACTCGTCACCTCTGAGGCTGGAAGCAGTATGTTCCCGACTATACGGCATCACATCCCAGAAGGTAACACTCTTCATAGCTACTGCTGTGAAAACCTCCAATTAAACGCGATTTTTGCACGAAGTACGTACAGAGATTGTATATGGAAGTCAGGGCGTGTCTATCTATCCGTTCCCATATTCCATACTGAAAACTATTGAACGGATTTAAATTAAATTAGGCAGTGGTGGCCTATAACAATTTGGTCCAATTTGATTCTGCTGCGTATCATTTCAATCCGTTTTGAAAAGTCTGTGCATAACGTAAGATATAAGAATTCATTAATGTGTATAACTGCAACACATTTCGATATGATGTATTCAGAAAAAATCAAGAACTTCTGAGTGCGTACAATCTATTTGTATCATGTGATGAGTTGCGCAACAATATATTTCTGCCTCTAGTGATGAACGTCAAAGGTCAATTCAGTACGCAAAATTGCAAAGGACGTATTTAAGAGATCGTGTACGCCTACTCGAAGCTGAACTACGTCCCTCCACTCTCGTTTCATCACTTGAATATCCATCCATAATTATGTCTATGACTAAGCTCTGCAGAATCAGGCATAGAGAATAACCTGGGTCTGACTGCAAAGTCAATAGGTGTGGTCATAATAATTCACGAAGACAGAGGTTACAGCGATAGAATGACATATTTCTTATGAGAGTTCTACCCACGCCCGTAACTGTTGTTCCCCACACAGAGTACGATCTTTGATTAGGTTTTTATGTTCAGCGAAATATCTATCAAAATATGAATGAGAGAAAATATTAATTAGAGAAGGAAGAATTGAACACAACCGATGAAGCCCCCGTTCTGTGACGCATGCGCGGGAACAGTTAGAAGCGTTTGGAGGGTTCTGAGCGTTCTGAGAGGTGGAAAGCTGGGGTGTTGCTTCCAGTAGAGACCTGGGACCGAATACAAGAAGAACGATAGAGGAAGTTAGTGTCACTTCTGGAACAAGGACGGCTGTTTAGCTGTCTCGACGCGAGGGATATCCTAAAGCACTCACCATTTACTGCTGGCTTTCCACCTCCGCTCCGACGGCACGGCCTTCTTATGTCATGCCCGGAGGAGGGAAAAAAGGTAACCAATCTACAATCCCAAAATTATATCTTATAATTGTAATTCTTCGTCTAATTCTGATAGGGTAATAACACGAGGAAGGATGAGGTTGGCAGAGGAAAGAGGAAACAGAAAATTATAAAAATATGTTGGCCGGAAAACCTGACGGTAGATTTGAGAGTATAAGAGATGATCATGCCCATATCGATCTCGGGGGAAATATGATTTAATGGTGTGCACTGGATTCACTCACACGTGATGAATGAGTGGGTTCTGTAGACAAAATAATGAAAGTTTGTGTACATAAAAGCGGCGATTTTTTGATCAGCTGAGTAATTATTTTAACAGTTCAAGGAAACCATTGTACAATGGAGTCTGTTACTTAGGCTGTATGTTTGGACCTAACTTAATGTTATGAGGGCAATAAATTGATGAATATAAGTGAGCAGGACGTATAACAGGCATGAGACACCAAGAATAGCATGTAGAATTAGGAATGGAACTTCACTTGGTTCATCCTGGTCACTCCCACTAGTAGTTGTACGTAAGATTTTTAACCACCGGTCAGTGTGATTGATAAAACTTGTTTCTTAATTTTTCATTCTTTACATGTTTCGGTCAAAACGACCATCTTCAGAAGTATTACAAACACAGCGTATCCTGAATAACTGGACCACGACACCAAAGAGTCCTGATCATCAGATAACGGAACCACTCTGTGCAACATATTCATCTTCCATTAATTTTTTTTAATTCGCTTAGTGGGGGGGTGGAGTCCAGCTGGGTCCACTCGGTACGGCGGCCACTGATTGGCCTATTGTAACTTGCCCCGGGTGATTATGATGATGGAGAATTTGGTGGAATGAATATTGGCAGGGGAAACCGAAGTACTCAGAGAAAACCTGCCCCAGCGCCACTTTGTCCACCACAAATCCCACTTGACCAGACCCGAGATCGAACCCGGGCCGCCGCCGTGGAAAGCCAGCGACTAACCGCTTGAGCTGTTGCGCGGCCCATCTTCCATTAAGGAGAAGAAGTATAACGACACGAACCAAATTGGTTCTAGATTAAAACAAATATTGAACACTACTTTTTAAACAGAATAATTGTAATAATTTTAGATTTTATAACAAATCAATGTACATCTTAGTATTAGTTATATCTATGACATGGTAATAATACTTCTTTTGGCTTGTTTTGGACTTCATCCATCGTCTGGTATGTAAAAGACAAAAGACCACGACGTTTCGGAGGCTGGATCTGTCTCCGTCTTCAGGTGGGTAGGGCAGGATAAACCTACTCAGTTGGGCCCGTTAGAAAGAGCTAGTCTCAATCACTAGACGATGGATAAAGTCCAAAACAAGCCAAAAGAAGTACGGTATACACCACCGTCAGAATCCTTTCAAGTCTATGGTAATAGTAGTTTCCATATGTGTTGATAATATCCTTTTGAAGATGGTCGTTTTGACCGAAACACGTGAAGGATGAAAAATTAAAAACACTACTTTTATCAATCACAATTGAGGGTAGTTAAAAGTTTGGAACCTTTTCTGGAAATAAACCTCTCAGGAAGACAAAGAAGTAGATGAGAGAATAGTAATAAACCTTATGTTAGATCGTGATTATGTGAACTGGATTGACCTAGTTAGAGGCAAAGTCCAATTTTGTGTTTCTGTTATCAAGAAGACGAGTATAAAATATAAATAATTAGAATAAATATAAAAATCTCACAGATGACAACTGTTATCCCAAACCCCTAACTATGCAGTGAACACTGCTTCCACTTATATGTTAGTCATTATTGACGAATTGGCTAAGTCAAGAACGGAATATTGAAGAGGGAGATACTGTTGTTTCTTTCTTTCTTTATTTCTCAGTTTAACTGCTCTGTATCAGCTACACAGAATATGTAGGATGATTCAAACTCTTCTGACCAAATTTTAGGATGTTGTTTGGAATATAAAATGTAAATAATTGTCGCTCAATTCGTCATCTTGTCGAGTTAAGACATTTCGCCACAAATATAAATCACTCCGTCCAATGTGACCTGTAAGATTTTTACTACATGAAAACTTAACACCCTTACATGTTTCGGTCTCTGTGGACCATCTTCAGAGGGCAAACATCACTACAAATAGGAAACCACCATCACATAAGTTGTTTAGACCTAAAGTACGTACACTTATATGCTACAGTACATAATATACAAAATAGAACATTTCACAAACACAGCAGTTTCCTGGGAATGTAAAGTTTTTTAAAAAATTGTATAAAATTACGTACTTTACGTCTAAACAACTTATGTGATGGTGGTTTCCTATTTGTAGTGATGTTTGCCCTCTGAAGATGGTCCACAGAGACCGAAACATGTAAGGGTGTTAAGTTTTCATGTAGTAAAAAACTTACAGGTCACATTGGACGGAGTGATTTATATTTGTAATTGTTAGTGTGACGGACCAGAATGAAACAAATCAAACATTTCGCCACATTTTAAGACAAGTAACTAGTCATATATATATTCAGTTATTTGCATTTAGCATCTTTATTTGTTGCTTTAATTACAGTGAATGAAACGTAAAGATTCCGAATTTATTACATCTTTCAAGTCTGCTTTCTCATTGCAATTAACACAAGTATTTGATCATAATGAGGACTCACACACAGTTCCGCCTCTTCTTCACAATAACTGCTCAAGACTTCCTGATCCAAATTCCAAGCACTTCACAGCAACACTGAATGGTGTTCCTGACAAGAACAAGTTGTCTGGATTGGTCTTTAATAAATGCGGCAGCTACCAGGACGCGTCAGATTGGTCGCCTCATTCTTGTACTTCCGTAGCTTAAATGTTTTCTTTCATGTACCCCAATAAGAAAATAATCGAGTGGATTCAGATCAAGAAAACGTGGATGTTAGACGATTGGAGCCTCACTGCCAATCCATGTGTCACAAAATATTTTCCCAGTTGTCATGTTCAAATTACAGGCGTTCGCAAAAGTTAAGGGGTACTTTCCCAATATATAGGCTAGTGTTCTTTAAAGAAAACCTAGTTACAGGATTCCACCGAGAAGACTCGCAGCCGGGTATAATCATTAGATAAACATGTATGATTCCGGGGCAAATGTTGACGCCATTTTTTTTTTCCTGAAATGAAGGACTTCGGGTAGCATAAGAATCCTCCAATGTCCTTGCATATAGGTTGTGACAACAGTTCTTTGTACTTCGTGTGAATGATGCCTCATCTATCCGCAATAGATGGCACAGAAAGTCAGGTTCATCTACAGTCCTGTGTAAGAGCCATGAACAGGACTGCAGACGAAGGTTACTGTCTCCCGACTCCAGCCCTTGTACAAGTTGTGCACGAAAGGGTTAAGACAGATCCTCATACAGAGTACGCCAAATTCCACTCTGCAGAAGGGCTGCTCCATATGCGACCAGTCGAGTACTAGTCAATGACTATTAACATGTTCAGCACATAACACTTTCTCTTCATTCTGCATACACATCACGTCCGCCGCTGGCAATGCGTGCTGCTGGCAAGAATGCGCCTGTTTCCATCAGAAAGATGTGTACTGCAGCAGACACTTGTCTGTTGGGTTGCTTCCGGTCTGATTATCGACGTTGATACACCATCGATGCACCTCTGCGATTTAAATCACACAAGAAATACACGAATACGTACCAGCGTATAGGTAAATATTTGTCTGATAAATTTCCTAACCAGAATGATTTAAGACAAGGAGATGCTTTATCGCCACTGCTTTTCAACGTTGCTTTAGAATATGCCATTAGGAAGGTCCAGGAAAACCAGGTGGGACTGAAATTAACCGGGGCATATCATCTGTTGGCCTATGCCAATGATGTGAATCTACTGGGTGATAATATAGATACCATAAAGAAAACATACAAACTTTAATTGACACAAGTAAAGAGGTTGGTCTAGAAGTAAAAACAGAGAAAACCAAGTATATGTTGCTGCCTCGTCACCAAAATGCAGGACAAAATCATGACATAACGATAGAAAACAGATGTTTTGAAAACGTGGCACAGTTAAGATATTCGGCAACGACGATAACAAATTAAAACCTGATTCAGGAGGAAATTAAGAGGAGATTGAACTCGGGTAATGCTTGCTACCATTCAGTCAAGAACCTTTTGGCTTCCCGTGTGCTGTACAAAAACATAAAAATTAGAATATACAAAACTATCATTTTGCCGCTGGTACTGTAAGGGTGTGAAATTTGGTCTCTGGCATTAAAGGAGGAACATAGACTGAGGGTGTTTGAGAACAGGGTGTTGAGGAGAATATTTGGACCGAAGAGGGATGAAGTGACAGGACGTTGGAGAAAAGTACATAATGAGGAGCTTCATAACTTGTACTCTTCTCCAAGTAGCATATAGCACGAATGGGGTAGAAAAGGAATGCATATAGTACATTGGTTGGAAAGCCAGAAGGAAAGAGACCACTGGGAAGACCAAGGCGTAGGTGGGTGGACAATATTAGAATAGATCTTAGAGCGCTAGGATGGGATGGGATGGATTGGATTGATCTGGCTCAGGATAGGGACCAGTGGAGAGCTCTTGTGAACACGGTAATGTAATTTCGGGTTCCATAAAATGCTGGGAAATTCTTAAGTAGCTGCAGATTTGGCTTCTCAAGAAGGGCTCAGCTCCATGAGTAAGTAAGTATTATAATACAGACGAATAAAGAAGAGACTTAAATATATAAAATTAGCAAAGGCGGATTACATATGAATGACACATACATTGATACATATAATCCGACATTTGAAACACTTCTAGACCAGATTTAATGCTAAATTCTTATACAGCTACTTGTTCTCTTTATTGCTTTTGTATTTTCGTCCAGAGGAATGCTAGTGTGTCCCATTCAGTTCGAGTCCCTTTTAGTTTCTGCTTGTTTCGTGCCATTACGTAAAGGAACTATATTATCAATTAAGGACGAAAATTCAGACTATTGGTATTTCTGCCGTAGCCGTGTTTCCAACGCTTGCTCTACACGACCACGAGAAGGGGCGAGTGACGGCCAATGAACAGGACAGACAGAAGAAATTCCACCAATCGAGAGGTTCGTTAAATTAGTATCACATTCTTTCTTACCCGTCTGCCTGTACCATTCCTCCTTTGTGATGGCTCCAACTGTATCAGACTTTCTTCCTGTCCGGAATGGTATGTCTGTTGATTTGTTTAACGATGTTTTGCCATCTGAACAGCTTATGATGACTGTGAACAGTTGGGATGGAGTTCGTGATTCGTTTCGAATACTACCCCACTAATTGCCTGAAAAATCTGAGGAAAATCATGAATAATGTCAGTGAGAATGGCCATTCTAACAGCCGAATTCGCATTCGGGATCCCTTGAACGCGAAGTAGGGGTTATAAACGCCATATTACGACTTTCGCTTGCACTCCCACATACGTGACACCTATAGAATTTGCAAAAAGACAGGTTCTTGAACCAACTTGTGGCACCCACTTTCGCACAGACGCAGACACGAGTACACTTGGTCGTCGACTTACGACCTATGGAACTTAACGACCGGCCGCATTTACGACCTCAAAAAAATGAACAAAAAGTTGATTAAAATGTAAAAGTTTTTAAAAATAAATTATAACGATGATAAAAAGATTAGAATGGTTAAAAATACTGTTAATAAATATATGACCGACATACGACCAGATCGACTTACGACCTGTCAGTCAGAACGGAAGTCGGTCGTAAGTCGACGAACAAGTGTATATTAGAGAGATCAATAAGAATTATAAATTAATTGTGGTGATCTGTTTAATTGCAGAGTGTCTGTCAGGATAGATTTCCAATACCAAAATTATTCGCACAACTCCGAATATCTGTAATGCAAGAAGTAGTTCATGGGGTATATTTAGATAATTTTGTGACCTCTCTTCTGTCAAATTCACGAGCCTCACTCATTAGCTAGTTACTACTGTGGAACTTCATCGTAGTAGTTAAATGGGATATTTCGTGTGGCAGACATATTGGTCTCATTCTATAAAAGAAAATCTTACTGCATATTTTTCTCATGTATATTATGATACAGAATATCCGCACCAAATTTTGAACATTGCGCTGGTGTTTCTCCCACATCAGAAGTTCAAACGGTCGTAATTTTCGGTATTAATAATATGGTATATAGAAATTAAGCCGGTCACGGTAGCCGAGCCGTCTAAGGCGTGTACTGTCTTCGCTCGCTTGGAAACCGGGATCGTGGGTTCGAATCCCACTAAGGGCATGGATGTTTAGTTTGTGTGTGCGTTTTTCTGTGTTTGTGTACAGGTAGAGGCCTTGCGACGAGCTGATCACCCGCCCAAGGAGTCCTACCGAATGTGTAAGATCTACCAAGACCGAAGTGAACAGAGAAGTTCATGGAGGTAGGCCTAGGCCCACTGGGGCTGTAGTGCCAGGGGGGGGGGTAGCAGGCATATTAATGTATGTATATAGAATGTGCTGTAAGTCGAGCAGACGCCAGTCAGATGAGAGGGCAAGTGTAGGAGTTTGCACTGCACTTCTGATGGCTCACGCCCACACCGCAATCAAAGTGGCTTTAGTAAAACCGTATTTACCAAGCCGCAGTATGCATTTCTTCTTTCCTTCATCTGAATTACATGTCCAGCATAATTCGTACTGCCGTCATGTTAATACTGTTGCTGATGAACATCTAAAAGTAAGAAAATAAGGATTGTATCCAATAGTAGGATTATATCACCAAATCGCTAACAAGGTAACTCTGTTACTGGGTCACAATAAGAGAAATAAAACCCATTGTTTTCAGGTAAGGGTCTGCCGATACATTCTTAGATTACGCCAGGTTACGTTAAAATACTAAAAAAACTTCTATAGAAGGCCCGTTAATTCACTCCGGTTAAAATGTTGTATTTCTATACAGATGTAAAATGTGATTCAAGATAGGTATCTTGTAAACTTAGTTCCTGACTATCCTTCATATTTGGGCCGCACCATAGCTCAAGTGGTTAGTCGCTGGCTTCCCACCGCGGCGGCCAGGGGTTCGATCCCGGATCTGGTCAAGTGGGACTTGTGGTGAACAAAGTGGTGTTGGGGCAGGTTTTCTCCGAGTACTTCGGTTTCCCCTGCCAATCTTCATTCCACCAACTGCTCCACAATCACCCTCACCTATCATCTGGGGCTGGTACAATAGGCCAGAAGTGGCCGCAGTACAAGGGACTTAGTCCCACCCCACTAGCAATAAAAAGAAATAAAAAAAACATCCTTCATATTTGTCTTAAAAGAGTAGTTACTGCGCAAATAATTTGCAAAATTTTAGGAAATTCTTTATACAGTAAAAAAAAGGTAAAGTTATCCATGTCTTTGACAAATTAAACATTATGCTATGAAGACGCATGGGATGTGAATGTATACGCCAACGCATTCTTCACCTCGGCTCTAGTTGTAGACAAATGGCCGCTTTAATCCCTGGGGAAGAGCCCCCAGTACCGATAGGATAAGAGGCTAGGTGACCCCAGAACCGGTCTGAATGACGTGGAGTGTAGGCTCCCAGTTCTTAATTTGTATACGGGGCGTCTAGAACACGGGATTGACATCGAATTAGGCTATTTTGAAGTGTTCTTCTAGGGCCGGACAGCCGGACGATAACAATGGTGTATCTAAGAAAAACTGTTATGGAGCTATCAGTAATTTACATTTTCACTAATTTAACGCAAATTATAAGGAACCGAAAGAAGGCAAAAGTAACATCGTTAATAATTAATTCTGACACGATATTCTGAACTCTGACTGATGTTCTCAATGTACTGAAACACGTATTGCTGTAGGTATAGTAAACATGCGTGCTTTGGACCCCAAAATTGGCGTTTCTTTAAACATGTCTTTTGGACGCGTGAATGATGACTTGGCAAAGAAACTGGAAGGAAAAAGTCGCGACCCATATTAAGATTCTACACAAGTACCTGTCGAGACTGGATCTACGCCTCACTTACCCTAATACTTAATGCATATCCTGAGCTCAGAAAGACATTGTGGCGTGAAGCTAACCACTCACAACCATCTAGAGTAGAGAATAAGATAGTAATGAGGTTTATTTTCTCTCCTCTTATAGATCTCTATGATTTGGTATATGGGCCCAGGAACAAGTTGGCTTTGTGCCGTCACTTGCTTGGGACGGATGAGAAAATTTACGGACGGGGGCACGCGGTAGCGTATTTGGTTGAGGCATTATGCTACAAGCCGGAAGGTCGCGGGTTCGAGTCCCGATGAGGTGATTTTTTTTTCAATTGACCTAACCCTTTCAGCCGCAGTATGGCCCTGGGGTCAACTCAGCCTCTAACAGAAATATGAGTACCAGGAATCTTCCTGGGGGATAAAGGGCGGACGGCGCGTAAAGCTGACAACCTTACCGCCATCTGTGAGCCGATTGTCTAGAAAATGTGGGACCCTCAACGTCTCACAACCCTATGGGCCTCCATGGTCTGTTACAGGAATAGCTTCACCTTCTTTACTCATTGAGGACAGCAGGTTAACAGGCGACGAATCGAACCCAGGAACTTCCTAGATTGAAGCTGGAGGTCTAATTACTCAGCCGTGAAATTCGGTGATGGGAATCAGGAAACTTACAGGGAGAAACAACGTTAAGATATAATCACCTGCCGTTGGGTCGGATGCTGCATTAACTGTAGCGACTTGCAACGGCTGCCTCAGCTCCAGGATTCGAGTGCACGTATTGATCTGATGAAAGCGCCCTCTAGCTGAGCCCGGGGGTTGTCGTAACGTCCATTTCGTATCCGAAATCTTGTTTCGGTACCACACCATTTTGCCACGCTTTGCCTGTTCATAACATCTTCGTTGTAACCAGAAACAAGTTGGCCATGAATTTCAGCAACAGTTTCTCCCTTCGCGTGAAGAAATCGAATTACTGCACGAACCTCACATTTGGCGGAATTTTGAATAGACATGGCAATTTTAAACACACACTGCGAGCACACCGTTGCCGTGACTGTGGCCGGTAAACTCTGCCCTGTCATACGGTTCCTATCTCACATGGCAGCACCGCCATTTCTGGGGAGGGGTATCCCCTTGCATTTTTACTGGACTTCTATATTCACTTTCCGAATATCCGTCGTACACATAGCCATCGTTTTAAATTTGATTCTTTTATCGCCTTACCTGTCTTCTAAGTGGTCGCTTCCAAGAGGTTTCCAAATCGAAATACTATATCATTTCCTGTTTTCCCCATCTGTAATACACGACCATTCCATCTCAATCTCAATATTTCTCAATTCTTACACTACTATATGACCCATATAAGAGATATTACTTATTTTTCTTTCTGGGATTTATTTTTTCGAAGCTGTCAGTATCACAGTCTACATATTGTAGAATGACAGGATGATTCACAAATGATGGATTGAAAAGGATTTGGAGAAAAGAGGTTGTAGCCTATCGAGGTATTATCACGAAAGTTTCCTGAACAGACTGGAGAAGGCCCGAAAAACTAGAGGCAGGGTAGCCTCTGTTCTCGCCGAGATTCGAGCAGAGAATCTTCCAATTTTTTTTATATATACTAATTTGCTAATTTAAACACCGTCCTCGTGTGCGTTCCGAATATAGACGTAGAATCACCTTGCTCGGTAAATTTGTTCCACGAGTTTATTTTAGAAGCTCAAAATCGAGCCCAGTTCGAAAACCACTCCATGATATATAATATTTTATTTAATAAGTTGTCTTGTTCATTTTCAATTGCCAGAATTATTACTGTTAACGTGAAACAATATTAAGGTACTAAATAATACTTTTTACCCCATAATTTTTGTATTCTTTGCACAAAATGTATCAAATAGAACGAAATGTGAGGTTGTGTATACGGTTTCGCATGATTCATGTACAAAAATATTTAATGAATTTCAGTTCTGATTGGCATTCGTTGTTTGTACTGAATAATGTTATATTTTAGCGTCCTGTTGCACTGATTCTCGTCCGTGATATGTATGTATTGGCCGTCTTGTAGTGCACTCAATCTCACATGTCACTTCACTACATGTTTCGGCATCACTGTGCCATCCTCAGATGCGTTGTTT